GGCGCCGAGTAGAGGGCAGCGAATGCCAGGTCTTTATTTTCTCTCGGTGCGTTTATGAGCTATCGATGTTCTACTGAGGTCTCTCGATTTGCTTCAAGCCCCGGTCGTCATCAATCGACGAGTGCTCGTACCGCCCTCGAGGTGTCGGACTTCTGGTTCATCTAGTCATTTTGACGAGAGTGTTTCCCGACGCTCTTCCTATGATTTGGGCCATGCTCTTAGAGAGCCGAAAATGGCTTCGTTTTTCTATATATAAGAGATCGTCTGTGCAGGAGTGGATGGGAAGCTTAAGCGGCGAGTTGCTAGCCGGTGGTGGGCACTAATAGTGAATCGAGTGGTCTTTCCTCCGGCCTTCCCTGCGTAATCTCTTCCGCCGGACGATGACTGTATTTGTGGACGGTTAAGGCGTATAGAACGGTGATGGACGTTGTGGTGTGGTCTCGGATCTGTCGGAGGATGCGTTTCAACGCTCTTTTTGCCAATATACAGAGTTTTGAAGCAAGGGACTGGAGTGGGCAGTCACGTCATGAATTTAGAGTCAATGTTGTTCTTGGGTTCGATTCCTGGTTTTTGGACTTTCTGAGAAATGAGTGACAATAGTTATTACTCGGCACGTTTATGATTTAATTTTAGGGAATTGAATCATTACGAGTAGTAATTAAAATTTGTGGTTTTGTACTGGAAACTAATCAAATGTGATTGATCTGGGACAAGAATAAAACTGTCCATTGACTCTCTAGAAGTTCTCAATTACGAATCGCAATAATTAATTCTCCAGCCAATTCAGACCGTCTCCGCCTTCACTCCCGTCTCCGTCTTCACCGCTCAGTCTTCCGCCTTCACCTCTCCGTCGCGCGCCTTCACTCCATCTCCGCCTTCACTCCATCTTCGTTTCACTCCGTCACCAGCGACTTCACTCGTCTTCCCTTCACTCCGTCACGCTTCACTCGTCAGTCCCCATCCGCTTCACTTCCTCCGTCCACTTCACTCCTTCTCCACCTTCACTCCGTCTCCACTTGTCACTCCCGTCTCCACCTTCACTCCGTCGTCCACCTTCACTCCGTTTCCCCTTTCACTCCGACTCCGCCTTCTCCGCCTTCACTCCATCTCCGCCTTCACTCCGTCTCCGCCTTCAAAACCGTCTCCGCCACGTTTTACCGTTCCGCCTTCGGACCGCTCCGCCTTTCGGACCGTCTCCGCCTTCGGACCCGTCCGCCTTCGGAGCTGTTTCCGCCTTCGACCGTCTCCCGCTTTCACTTCTGTCTCCGCCTACACTCTTTTCCTCTACACTTATCTCGCCTTCAGTCCGTCTCCCCTTCACTCTGTCCCCGCCTTCACTCTGTCCCCGCCTTCACTGTCTCCGCCTTCACTCTGTCCCGCCTTTCACTCTGCCCCCGCCTTCACCTTCCCCGCCTTCACTCTGTCCCCGCTTCACTCTGTCCCCGCCTTCACTCTGTCCGCTTCACTCGTCCCCGCCTTCACTCTGTCCCCGCCTTCACTCTGTCCCCGCCTTTCACTCTGTCCCCGCCTTCACTCTGTCCCCGCCTTCACCTCTGTCCCGCCTTCACTCGTCCCCGCCTTCACTCTGTCCCCCGCCTTCACTCTGTCCCGCCTTCACTCCGGCCTCCGCTTCTCCCCATTCCACCTTCACTCCATCTCCGTCTGACCTCGGGTCTCCGTCTCACACCGTCTCCGAACTCTTACATCTATTCCGCGTCCTTAACATCGCTTGAGCTCGCTTTTCCCAACCCCGCTTTCTCTCCCTTTCCGCCTCTACATCCGCCTCCGCCCAGGCAACTGGCGGTCCGTCCCCCTTCACCTGCGCAGCCACCTGCGCAGCGCCGGCTGGTGGGCGGGTCGGCGCGCGCGCGCGAACCCCGCTTGAGGACGGTGATCCAGCGCTGCCGCCCTCCGCCCCCCGCCCCCGCTCCCACTCCGCACCTCCGCTGCCTCCTCCACCCCCGCCTCCGCCACCGCCACCACCTCCGCCACCGCTCCGCCTCCGCCACCACCTCCGCCACCGCCTCCGCCACCGCCTCCGCATCGCCTCCGCCACCGCCCCCCCTCCGCCACGCTCCGCCCCCGCCTCCGCCACCGCCCCACGCTCCACTCCGCACCCCTCGCTCCCGCCCTCCACCCCCCCTCGCCACCGCCACACCTCCGCCACGCTCCGCCTCCCCAGCCGCCTTTCCGCCACCGCCTCCGCCACCGCCTTCCGCCACTCCGCCTCCGCCCACCCGCCGCCGCCACGCCACGCCCCCGCCTCCGCCCCTGCCTCCGCCCCACCTCCGCCTCGGCCCCCGCCTCCGCCTCCGCCCCCGCCTCCGCCCCCGCCTCCGCCCCCGCCTCGCCCCCGCCCCCGCCCCGCCCCCGCCTCCGCCCCCGCCTCCGCCCCCGCCTCCGCTCCCGCCTCCGCCCCCGCCTCCGCCCCGCCTCCGCCCCCGCCCCGCTTCCACTTCGCACCCCTCCACTCCCGCCTCCACCCCCGCCCTCCGCCTCCGCACCGCCCCCGCCCCCGCCTCCGCCCCCGCTCCCATCCTCGCAGTCACCCGGCCGCCTCGCCGGCCCTCCCGCTCGGTGACGACATGCTCTTGCGGAACCCACCCAGCGAAATTATGCGCACACACGTCAAACGTCTTTCGAAGTGTCCGCATTGCTGCCTTGTAGCAGGGCGAGTCATTTACTGCTCTCTGCGCTAGAGAGTTTGCCCTAGAGTAGTAGTTGTAATACTATTATCAGCTATTAATTTCTACTAGATTAGTTTCCAATTGCGTGCAGAAATTGACAGAAAACTAAGAGGCATGTGATACCTATGTGATATGTGATACCCAGGAACTCGTTAAAAAACACATTGCAACTGTTTCAATTTTGGCTGAAAAATGCAAATATTTGATTGTTATTTCCACTATTTTATAATGTGCGTACCGTCATAATTAAGTCTCATTACTCAGTCGCTTACAACAGTGCTCAGTTATTTTACGGAACAGGAACTTTTTTGACAACGTTTGCATGTCCTATATAAAGAACTGTAGTATAGTGTATATGCTACACTACGTATGTTATTGCAGTATACTGAAAACTGTCTTAATCAAAATAGTGAATTTTGTTGAAGTGCTGTATGCGAGAATTTTATTTGTTCTTGAGAAGTATGCATTTATATTTGGGAAAACCATTCATGTGTGTTCTGGAGCACTGCTGTAGCTCACTAGTAAACTATATTATTGTAGTATATTGTACACTTATATTCTAGAGCAGGGCTTCTCATATGCAAGAATTGTCCAAAATGTCTGCGGTTACCCGCTGCAGTGGCCCGCTTCTCACGTACTGTTTACTACACTGAGCCGATTGCGCCCGAGCGTCTCCCCTCTCATTGGACTTAGTCAACAAGCAGCGGGCCTCTTTAACGGCCCGCAGAGAAGCGCTGAGTCACTGGACGTCAGGGCCACCGTATTGAGCAACCTCATATTAGAGCCCGTGCCATTATCAATATATTATCAAGTAAAACACCAAACCCAAAATAATATTTCTTTTGTACAGCTGCATTCCCCTATTTTTCATAATTATGGGTACATGCTCTGTTGTATATACTTCTGGCGGCCTTACAAGATGGAAGCCTTTTAAACGAATCCCGCTGGGCAATGTTGCATGCTTTCAGATGGGCAATCTGAAACATTTTCCTCAGCTACACACCCGGACTGATTTATGAAGTTACCGCCTGTGATGATTCGTAATACTATTTCCTATAGCTACAACCGATCGTTCTACTGCATACTAGCCGTTCAGTATTCGTGAGTTCAAGATCAAATGCAAGTTTCAGTGCAAATGAATTATTCAGAGGTAGATTCGGAACATGTTTCTTACTGCACCAAGACCTGTTTTTCTTCGACTGTCAACAGCGAGGTCGGTTGGCTGTAGATCTTTCCTTGTCTCTGTGCTAATTTCTTTAACACCTCTTGTGAATGGCAGCCTATCTCATCTATTAATAGTAGTCTCAGTTCAGCTAGTTCCGTTGTGATCACCCCTATAACTTTGAGAAACTTTGTTGCTCCAAAACATCATTTTGTAAAAAGATATTTTATTACAATTTGTTTGTTTAATCTTTGAAAAATCTATGAAGCGTTTTTTGTGCTGTGTAAATCGCAGAGGGAGAATCGATGTGGAGACTGAGTTTTTTCCTGAGTAAAATCACTCCAGAGAGTTCTCCGCAATGAGATGAACACCAGTTTCTCATTTTCCTGAGAACTGATTCGTTGTTGCACGTCCGTTTGTTCATAATTACTGATTTTCCATAACATTCAAAATCATATACATATGATGAGTCAAATCTGTTAGCATAATACTTTATACTAAATTTCCCTCCGAAGCTTTCCATTCCCTATAAACTTGTGTAAACAGAGACATCACATTTCGCATTCAAAAAAGAAGTCAGAATTCAAGTAATTGCTATGCGTTATTTCGTTCCAATGCAGTGACTCTGTTTCAGAATCTGTTATATAAACTATTAAAAACAATCCATCATCTGGTTAATATGATTTGTTTCGTTTTTATACCATTAACTTTCATTTCATTACTGTTAAAAAGCAATTTTTGCTACTAGCAAGGTTCTTTTTTTTACCAGCAGAATACATAAAATGATCTGGCCCTCCGTTTAGCAATTTGTGAGAAGATAAATCTCACAAGAAAATAAATTATCAGCTCAATGCATTTCATCAGCTATATTCAATTCCAGAATGTTTTACATGACAAGGATGTGTTCATTACATTTTCCTTATTCTTTCAGATTAACGTGTGTAGTGACATCGCAAGTACGACTGAAGAATTGGCTGGCACATTACAGTGTGGTAACAACGTGGTGGAAAGCTGCAGTTCTATATGTAGCCGCGTTCTTCACAGGTAAGAAGATCAATATTATTAATCAAATATTGTTTTTAAACAATTTTACAGGTAGTTTCTGAAAATTTTTGAAGAGATTCACCTTTGAGGTGCTCTAAACCGCTAAACACTAATATATGTTCTGGATTTGTAGCTGGTGATTCCATTATCCTATTTTTCAATCTCGTACTTGACGTCTTTGTTTTCTTTTAACTTCATTCTTTTAACTGATCTAAAATTGTACAAGAGAACACAATCTTATTAGCATTTGTAGATATTTGAACCAAGAAATTTGGGGTTCCGGCTATGAGCCATAGGTTTGCTATTTATGGGTGATTTTGTTTATGTACTGCGTTTACTATTTGATCTATTCAATTTAGTTCATTTCACTTATTAAGAAGTTTCCACCCTTCGTGATCTCGTGCATTACAGTTCGCCTCTTCATACTATAGCCCGTAGGCTTATTTAAGTATATTATTTTACAAATTCTCTGTCACGAAAAGTTCTGGACGTTTGGGCACTTTTAGCGCTTTCATCACTTGTGTACAATTCGAACATGAACAGCTAAACACTGATATATGTTCTAGATTTGTAGCTGGTGATTCCATTATCCTATTTTTCAATCTCGTACTTGACGTCTTTGTTTTCTTTTATCCTCATTCTTTTATCACATAATTTATAGTATATCGAGACAGAGCCCATAGGTTACCTTTTTTGCTGCCTTGCAATTCTTAGAAATTTTTCATCAGCATCAAAATTCAGAGAGATCTGAAATTGCGCGTAGTTCCTTTGTTAACGATGACTCATTTTTGACAATGCATTGCATATATGTAACACATTTAGAGAAATTCCAGCAGGTTTTTAACTGTAAGGAATTTGGTTATACAATACTAAATAATGTTTTAATAACTAACAAGACATTACGCCAAACTAAAGGCTCCCTTTGCACGATCAACTTTTCGTCCATTTTTGTCCACACAGAAAAGGGATGGGTCAATTTGGAGCTGGTTCAGTGGCAGCATTACCGTGGTCTCTGAAGCGACTCTAGAGTTCAGGTTCCGTCGATGACCAATTTTCGACACTAGCTAAATGCCTGGTGGAATTCAGCAACTGTATGGAGGAGAATTTTATCGGTCGGCAGCTCCGATCTCCTGTTGTGGTTTCCGAGCTGTATTCTAGAAAACGAACCACATACCGCTCACGATATTTCCTTCCTCACCTTTGGTCCCTCCCCTCCCCTAACATACACACACAGACGACTACATCATCACACATGAAGGGAGCATAGAGCTTCTCTCGGCTGCATCTTCTCCTCCTGAACTTTTCTCTTTTTTCTTCTCTGCCATTTTCTTTACTTTCTATGTAATGTTCTCTTCCTCTCCTACTACAAATTCTACCCCGTTTTCTTCTCCACCTTCTTCCCACGACGTTACACCCGCTTCTTCCCTCAATACGTTAGAACGAAGTACGAGTGCGAATGACGCTCGTGGGCCGTGGAAGGTGTCGTGAGGGAAAGGCGAGCTATCCGACGGCTCGAGGTGGCCCGAGGCCTGCGGCGGGCATTACGGAGTCCGTGCGCCGTAACTCTTCCCTAAAAGGATGAGGACGGGGACGAGCACGAAATGGCGCCTGCGCGGACGCGGTCGCGCGCCGCCTGCCTCGTAAAGCGACGGACCGCGCTGCGACCTAGCGACTGCGACCTAGCGACTGCGATCTAGCGACTGCGATCTAGCGACTGCGATCTAGCGACTGCGATCTAGCGACTGCGACCTAGCGACTGCGAACGTTCCTCGTCTGAGGGTTTGGTCAGACTAGATCCGTGTTCAGGCGGGGGAAAAAAGTTCGGGCGTGAACTACGGACAATATATTCTGCCGAACGATAGTGACCAAAGTGCCAGAGACATCCATCTGCTAATAATAATGAATCGGTAACATCCTATGAAAGTAAGAAAACTTGTCCATTTTGCTAATAGCTCGGTTTTCTTTGAAATGATAGATCGGTTTGTGAAATTATATTTATATGGTATTCGTTTTGCATTAGTGAGGATGTTCCCATTTTTGGTGGAAACAATGTGTTATCAACTGTGTCACTTGCCACTTGTTGAATTAATTATCCCCCTCGTAATTACAACATAAAACATTCATGTCACACAAGGAATTCGATCACAGCCCTTAAGCAGAGTGGTTGCTGCCGCGTCTATCTGTGCTAACATAATTAAATGCAGAACAAAATGGGGATAAAGAAACAGTAATTTTAAAGGTTGTTGTCGAAATAAAAAAAACTACCCATTTCATTTTAGATTATAAAAAATTGTATTTTAAGCAGAAAAATAAATGCACGCGAAGAATAAATATTCTGGAGAAGGTACTTAGACGGTAACTAGAAATAAATTACCAAGTTGCCTCCAAGCTTGTAGAAGAAATATTACATTTGCTTTGATCTTAAAAGTAAACTAGTTTCATTTGTCCATTAATTTTAGGTTAGGTTCCAGTTGTCGTTTCAGTTTGCGATCCATTTTTAACATCAGCGAAAATTGTTGCGAACAAGTGATCTTAATACAGGAGATCGTCCATATCTCAATCGTGTGGAGGTAGTGAGGGTGAGTTGGTAGTTGCTTTAAAAGGCCATATTCGGAAATCCTCTCTCTATAAGGCCATAGAAGAATAGATGAAAGACTATTAATAATAATAGTATTATTATTATTATTATTATTATTATTATTATTAATAATAATAATAATAATAATAATAATAATAATAATGATAATATGTGAACACGAAGATGACGCAGATTTGATTGATGAAGCCGACTGCGTCATCTGCCAAGGTCCCTTACGTTTAGCGCACGTTTTATCGCGGGAGATGATCTTCCCCCTGCATGGCGAGATCCGGCGCCTCGCGGGGATTTTCCCCAGCCAAGTATCTTCCATCAGCGAGGTACCCCCCCCCCCCTAGCCGGGGCAAGTTCTAGGCTCCCGACATGTGTGGTACTGTAGGGCATGTTAGTGTTAAGTATGTTTTAGTAAGGGATGGGGATAAGATCATGAAGTAAAAGGAAACAACGCGCGCAGTCCGTGGCCCGTTTGCTAAGGTATTGCTCCTGCATTCGTCTGGTGTTGATCGGAGAAACGGCGTGAAACTAACCGATGAGAGTTGCTTGCCGCTGAAATTAACCTCCAGACAGCGGCCGATATAGTTGACGAGCTCGAGTGGAAAATATTGCGACCGTCGAGACTCGAACTTCAGGATCTTCCGGTCAGAGACGCTACATTGACATCTGTTGATGGCCTGAGCCCCCTTTGAATTGAATTGAATTTGCCTTATTTTACGTGGCGAGACTCGGGCCATCAGGCCCGCTCTTCCGTCTGACCACGCAAATTTCGCTACGCTCCTTTCACCAACTAGGAGAGAAAGGAGGTATTTCTTGGGCGAGAAACAGGCGATTTGAATTTAGCTCAGAGGCGTCATTTAGGCTTGAGGATCTTTTACATGCAAGTAAATCTACGAACATGGGACAGCCGGCTTTACTTCCCCTCCGAAGGAAGGCGTACGAAGGATTTTCTCGCCCTTAAAAACCCACGGCATCGATCGGGTTTGAACCCGCCAACTTGGGTACAACAGTCCAGTACGCTAACCGTTACACCATCGTCATAATTTGAAGAAGTAGAAGAGGAAGAGAAAGGAACATGGAATAGAATGATATGATGATGAAGAAGAAGAAGAAGAAGAAGAAGAATTAAGATAGAGGGGAAGAAATAAGAGAAATATGTAGAAGGGAAAGATGTAGGAAATGAGAGAAGTTGGAGCAGATGAAGCAAATGAAAGATATTTTGGACGAGATGAACGCAATGAAAGAATTGTTAGAGGAGATGGAGAAAATTATATAGAAGCTGAAGGAGATGTAGAAAATGAGAGAGAATTTGGACGGAAATAAAGGAAAAGAGGGAGATGCTGAAGGAAATGAGGCAGAAATTGGGTGTCGATTGAGGTAAAGAGGAAGAGATTAGAGGAATCAAAGGAAAAGTGGCAAAAGTACGGATGAGATGGAAGAAAAGAGATTCATGAAAAAGTAGTAGTTTGATGAATTGGCGGAGAGGAGTGATATTGGGTGGTGATGAAAGAAAAAAAACATTGAAGAAAATAAGAAAAAAATAATGAGAAATTTGGGAGAGGTACAGGCGAAGAAGTAAAAGTGGCAGAAGGAGAAATTGGAGAAGAAATTCTCCAGTTGTAAGTTTGTTCCCGCTCGGGGAGCGTGGTCCAAGCGAGGCGCCCCTGGCATCCGCGGCCTGACCCCGGGGGCCTGGCGCTGGGTCGTAATGGCCTCCCGGCGGCTCGGCGTGGCCCGCGAGGCCCGTGCCCAGGGCCGGTGGAGCGGTTACGAGCGCTCGCCTCGACGTTGATGGGCAGGGAATATATCGCAGCGGCGGCCTCCGCCGGGACATTGTACGCACATTTGGGTACACCTTTGTAAATCTCGCCGATCGGCGTCCGCGGAGGAGCGGCTAAGTGGAGAGCGCGCGTGGGACTGCGGAGGTCAGGGGTTCGAACCCACGGAGTTACGGCCGGTTGCGCGGGGAAGCTGCTTCTCTGAGGCTGACCATCTCTCGGAGTTGATGGAGGCGAGGAACCTACCTTGAGAGAAATTACAATAATACTGCTCTTCTGCCTAACAATTGTATAACGACACTTTGCATACTGCAAAATTTAGTTCCACGTACTGACAGTCCTTTGTCATTTTTAAAAGTAAAAGTTGGGACCAAACCGGCCGAATTTGCAAGAATCTTAGAAAAGTTTGAAGTAAAAGTAAGTAGAAAGTTGTTGATTAAAATGTATTTCGTTTAAATAACGATAGCTCTATTTTACCAAGAAATATAGTTGTAATTGACAGTGATACGTTGATTAAATATTGTCATTTTCAAACGAACTTCAATTTCATCTCACCATTTCATGTTGAAATTTAGGGGAATGTCGGTTTAATTACCTTACAGTATTTGTCATAAAAAGTAGATTCCATTT